TTATGGGAAGATTATGACAAGTATGTGTTAGTTATTCTAGTGCTGGAGTTGGGATCAGTTACGGTGATTCATGTGTTTGATAAATTTGCAGACTGGGAGTTCTCAGAAGTATATTGTTTCAGGTTGCGGCCTGTTTGAGGCGAGTATTTTATTTTAACTAAGTGGAGATACTAGTTGCGTTAATTATTTGTGATAGCTACGTGCTATAAGTGTGCATACGTGTGAGGATTGAGCCAATGTGCGGGCATCGGGGCAAGTATTTATACTCGAAAGAATGCTTAGGTTATGATATGCCTAGAGGTGACTGTTAAACGTAAAGTTATAACGTTTCTCGTGCTCATACCTTTATTGAGAACTATTTGGGCTGCAATTGAGGTTACCAAGAGGTTAATTTCCCTAAATAAATGGGGTAGTTATTATTTTTGCGTTAACTTATCGATTTGGAGTATGATAGTAGACTTTGCACATGCTTACACTATGGCGTGCTATTTATACCAGTCCAGGATAATGAGCATCTTATTTCATTATCATATACAAGTGTACTTGTTTAATTGCTCATGTATGATATGCTGGGACTAGAGGCCTGTGACCATGCCGGACGATTTATATTATTGGCACGTGAGTTGTCTGTGCCGTGTGTGGGAATTTTATTTCTTTGATAATTTATCTGATTCATTAATTTCCTTCCTCTATAATTGTGCACATGCACCTACGGTTATCCTCTTCATGAAATTTGAGGAGTTGGTTGTGACATTGCGGTTCCGGTGGTGCTTGTGAAACTTACAATGCGGTTCTCTTCCTTGAGACATCTCCCATATTTGGGTACACGGAGTGCGCGGTGGTGGATTAAGTTATATTGATGTGGCGTGTTTGTGAGATAGTTGTGTTTAATAAAATAATGTCGTTGGACCTAGAATGGGTACTATCAGGCTTGATTATGATATATTCGGGAGGATAATATTGAAAGTCGGCTTAGGAGAGGATTGTGGTTCAGGTTGGGGCGAGAAAGCTGTATGACTAGTTGATCTGATGAGTGATTATGTGTTTTTGATTGTTTCTTTCATCTTTGGCAGTGTACGAAAGGTTTTGGAATGAGGTTCTGTTGAATGTGGGATTTTATACTAGTACATGGTTGGTTTGAAGTAGTTACTGTGATCAGGAATGGTGCTACTAGCGGGTGAATTATGTAATATGCTGGGTGATTATATCCATGATTATAGTTATAGCTCGATGTAGCTTGTTCAGACTCATACAGTGTGTAAATGTAAGATTCGTGTCTTGAAAAGAAATTTTGAAGGTTGGGAATTGAATTCCAAGGTTTTTGGGCTAAGGTTAAATTAAGGATTTTCAGTTGTATTGTGTTGTTAGACCTATGTGGAATAGGGTGACGTGGGATCACCCCCGGGTACGTGCGTGGTAAGAATGAATAGTGATGTAAAGGCTTAGGAACAACTCTTGGCACGTTCGAGTACGAACGTATGTTTAAGTGGGGGAGATTGTAACGACCCGACCGGTCGTTTTGAGCATTTACGCTCCTTTCAACTATTTAAGGTCTTGCATAACTTCCTACGGGGTATTATGACTTATGTGAATTGTCGGTTTTGGTTTTAAGGTATTTCAGAGTTAGTTTGGAAGAATGAATTTCATGTTGGAAGCTTAAGTTGAAATAGTTGACCGGATATTGACTTATGTGTAAATGACCCCAGAATAGAGTTTTGATGACTCCAATAGCTCTGTATGGTGATTATGGACTTAGGAGCGTATCCGAAAAATTATTTGGAGGCCCGTAGTAGAATTTGGCTTGAAATGACGAAAGTTGAATTTTTAAAAAGTTTGACCGGGGGCTGACTTTTTGATATCGGGGTTGGAATCTGATTCCGGAGATTGGAATAGCTTCGTTATGTCATTTATGAATTGTGTGCAAAATATGAGCTCAATTGGACATGATTCGATAGGTTTCGGCATCGAATGTAGAAGTTGGAAATTTCATTATAGACTAAAGTTCAAGTGAGTTCGCACAAGACCCAACTTCAAATGAGCATAACTCTCATGATACGAAGTGTTATATGGTCTATTACCTATCAAATGAAAGATATTTGAGTCTAGTTTCTAACGCTTTAAATCGTTTGTCATCTGAATATTCCTACAAGAAGTTATGACCAAATTACCAAAGGCTGAAAAAATACAATTCTGCGACCAATTATGCGATCGCAAAATAGTTATGCGATCGCAAAACAGCTTCTGCGACCGCAAACTGGTCGCAGAATGGACCAGAAGAGCCCAGTTCTGGGCACCGATTTTGCGATCAACTTTGCGTCCTGCATACCCATTCTGCGGTCCATTATGCGACCGCAGACCTACTTTCGGAGGGTTAATTTTTTTATTTTTATAACCCGGTCCCATTTTGATAAATAGGCTTTGGGACTCATTTTCGAGCAAAAATCTGACATTTTTAGAGAGAAGGGAGAGTGTTCTAGAGAGAGGAAGAAGCTCAAGTGCTTTGTTCATCAAGATCTTGTTCAAGTTTTGAAATCCAACAAAGAAATATCACAAGATCTTCACCCAAGAGGTAAGGTTCTAACCCCTAGTCTTCAATTTCGAGTTTGGATAAAGATGGGCGATTAAGAGTATAATTCTTGGGTGTAATAGTATTATTTATGCATATCAATAAGGTTTATGAAAAGATTGTTGAGTTCAAATGGGTAAAGATTGGGTTGAAAATGGTAGAAATCTTCAAAGACTTTAATTGAAGATTTGAGGGTCGAGTTGATGTCGGAATTTAGTAAAATTTATATGGTTGGACTCGTGGTTGGATGGGTGTTCATATTTTGTAACTTTTGTCGGATTCCGATATATGGGCCCCACGAGCAATTTTTAAGTTAATTTCGAATTTTATTGGAAAATTAGTATCTCCTTACGGAATTAATGACAATAATTGAAATTGACTGAATCGAATTAATTGTGGATAGATACAAGGCTTTCGGAGACCAATTCTCGTGGCAAGTGCATAGCGGAATAAAGAATTACATAGTTTGAGGTAAGTAACAGTTTAAATTTGGTCCTGAGGGTATGAAACCCAGGATTTTGTGTCATGTGATTATTTTGGAGGTGACGCACATGCTAGGTGACGGGCGTGTGGGCGTGCACCGAGGGGATTATGACTTGGTCCGACCCGTGAAAACTGTGAAGCTCAATAACTTGTTGATAGTTATGTGCTCTCTGTATGTTGTGGAAACTTGACTATAAGTCATACTAGAAACTATGTTTAGGCTAAATGTTGGTATTGTTGGGACCCACAGAGGTCGTGTACATGTTGAATTATCTACTTAAATTGTTGTTTCGTACTCAGTCACAACTTACTTGATTTTTTTATATCAGTCTCTATTGTTCATTATTGATGTATCATATCATTGTTGTTTGGGCTAATTTTATGATTGTTGAGAGCCCAAGAGACTAGAGATCTTTATGACTGAGTGAGGCCGACGACCTGATTGTGAGATATTATACTATAGCACGTGAGTTGGCCGTGCAGCACGTGAGTTCTCCATGCGTATCCTTATATTATACTATAGCACGTGAGTTGGCTGTGCAGGTGAGTTGGCCGTGCGGATCCTTATATTATACTATAGCATGTGAGTTGGCCGTGCGGATCCTTATATTATACTATAGCATGTGAGTTGGCCGTGCAACACGTGAGTTAGCCTTGCGGATCCATATATTTATATTATGGCACGTGATTTGTCCGTGCAGTACGTGAGTTGTCCGTACAGATTATAGCGCTTGGGCTGTAGGAGCTCCTCCAGAGTCTGTACACCCCCAGTGAGCACGGGTACCCATTGAGTGTGAGTGATGAGGGTTGGGAGCCCAGTAAGTGATTGTTGTCCTAAGAGGTTGTACTTGATTTCCATTTGTTGTTGCACTTAGTTGTTATATGTCATTGTTGTGAAATCTCTGAAAGATTTTATATACGGATTACATGAACAGGAACTGTATAAAAAAATTTGATTTGACATTAAACTACCAGATTTGAAAGCATGTCTATTCTTTGCTAGAATTACTGAATATGAACTGTAGCTGTGTAGCTCGTCACTATCTTCAGTTCTTTATTTATTATTGTTACTTACTGAGTTGGTTATACACATACTACACCGTACACTTCGTGTGCAGATCCAGGTATTTCCGGTCATAGCGGATGTTGATTCTCTCGGACAGTTGACTTTGTTTAGAGATTCAGAGGTAGCTGCCGTATTTCGCAGACCTTGTCTCTTCTTCCATATCTCCTTTTTATTGTATTTGGTCTCAAACTATTATAGACCGTATTTTTCAGACTTGTATTCAGATTAGATGCCTATGTACTCATTGACACCAGGTTTTGGGAGTGGTTGTATCGGTAATTATAAGATTTGTGGATTTTATTGGAATATTATATTTTCAAACTTAAGAGAAATTATGATTTATTGAAATTTTCGGCTTGCCTAATATTGAGATAGGCGCTATCACGACGGGTGAGATTTTGGGTCGTGACATTAAAGTTACCCAACTCCCCCAACCCTCCACCCAAAACAAAGAGCTCCAGAGTCCAGTATGACAATCAAAGAGGGAATACAGCAAAATCATACATACACACAAACACATAACAAAGACGCATAAAGATTGTGACTTTTTCAAAAAAAAAAATAGAATTAGCAATTTCAAATAAAAAGCTCCAGATTGAAAATCAAAGGGGGAATACGGAAAACCCATAGATTCTAACATAGAAAGCACATAAATATTGTGCCTTTCTCAAAAAATTAGAATTACCCAATTCAAAAAAAACTCCAAATAAAAATCAAAGAGAAAACACAGAAAAGAACCCCGGATTCCAATACAAACACATATTAAAAACACATAAAAATTGTGCCTTTTAATGAAATTAAAGTTACCCAATTTCCTGAAGAAAGCTCAAATATTTTAGAATTGAAGATGAAAAAAATAAACAGAAAAAGAAAAAAAAGACTTACCTTCAGTCAGAGAGAGAAAGCTGTCAGTCGCACATGTGTATTGGAAGAGAGATCCAAGAACAATCAGCCTCACACTTGAAATGGAACAAGAAAAAAGATATCGAGAGTGAGAGAGAGAAATAGAGAAAATTGGGAAAATAGGCCCGAAATTGGTGAAATAGGGTTTTGGCCTGAAATATTAGATTTAGGCTTCTAACTACGGTAGTCGTAAAACCATTTAAATATTATTTTATTATTTTAATTTTAATTTTGAAACTGAAGCGGTCGCTTGATTGGTCAACAATATTTTTGACTTTTTATTGTCTAACTGAATCGGTCGCAAACGTAAAGGCGGAAAAATTGGCGCGTTGTTTTTCCAATACTTTTATCGGAATAATAGTCGATTTTATTTTTTCAAAAAAAGTAATAAAATTTCAATCTTTTTGAGACTACTGCGGTCACAAAAGTAGTCCCATTAGCGATCGTTTTATTTTCAGTCAGAAATTTCGGTCACAAATTGATAGTTTTCTAGTAGTGTATAAGGCTAAAAACCTAAAGGCACGTCAAGATGAGAGGCTACTACAGTTTTTGATAGGTCTGAATGAGACTTTCATTGGAGTCAGAAGCAACATATTGTTGTCTTCCTCCTTTACCCTCTATTGGTTAGGCTTACTCTCTTGTGATGCAAGATAAAAAGCAGAGAGAAATACATCGTACACCTGTTTATCTAGGTGAATTAGCTTCTTTTGTGGCAGCAAAGCAGTCGAGAGGGGGGAAGAGGTTTAATGATTTTAAGGGACAGAAAACAGGTTATGATGTGAAGAGAAACTCTAACATTTGTGCTTATTGTAAGAAACCAGGTCATAGCATAGATAAGTGCTACAGAATCCATGGATTTCCCACAGATTTTAAATTCACAAAGCAGAAAAAGTTTCAGGGTACAACCTAGGCACACAATGTTCTTAACACAACTGAAGATGCAGAACAAGGAACTAACAGTAGTTCAAAAGTGAAGGCCCTTACCCAGGAGAATGTGACCCAGCTGCTGCAGCTTCTTCAGCAGGTGAACTTGAACCAGCAGGGTACATGTTCCTCTGATGCTTTTGCCAACTTTAACTGTGCTGGTATATAAATTTTTTTGATACTTATAAATGTTTCATAGATATTGATAGTCAGTCATGGATACTAGATAGTGAAGCCACTGAGCATATGACGTTTAACAAAATATTCTTTTCATATTTCAGGGCTTTGCCCAAACCAATAATAGTTAAACTTCCAAATTCTTATAGAGTTAGAGTTACTCATTATGGATATGTTGCTCTTTTGCCTAATCTAGTGTTAGAACTTCTCTTATACATATCTTCGTTCATATTTAATCTTTTGTCTATGCACAAGTTGTGCAGACAACTCAGAAAGTTCATCATATTCACTCATTCTTCTTATTTTCTGCTACAGGGCCCTTCACTGAAAAGCCCTTTGGAGATTAGTAAACACAGAGGAGGAATGTACATCCTTGAGTCAGGACATCCAGCAGTAACTTCTAAGAGTTTCCCTAAGACTAGTAGCAGTTTTAATTCCCGCAGTCAATTAAAATCTAGTGCTATTTCTAATTCATGTTTTACTTTTTTTATTCTAATGTAAAAGACAAATTGTGGCACTATAGATCAGGTCACATGCCTTTGAGTAATATGAAGAATATATCATCTATTCCTATAGAAAGGCAGTTTCATACCAGAGTAAAAGTCATAAGGTCAGATAATGCTTTTGAATTGGGAAGTGAAAATGTTCAATCAGAGTTCTTTCTTTCTCAGGGAATCATACACCAGACTACTTGTATGGCCACTCCAAAATAAAATGGAGTTATGGAGAGAAAGCATAAGCACTTACTAGAGACCTCTAGAGCTTTATTATTTCAATCTCATTTACCTATATTTTCCTCTGGAGACTGTCTCTTGACTGCAACTTACTTAATCAACAAGTTCCCTTCAAAGGTTTTGCACCTAAAGACCCCCTATAAAATTCTTTTTAACGTCAAACCTAATTATTCCAATCTTAGGTGCTTTGGGTATTTGTGCTTTGCTTTCACACTTTCAAGTCATAGAGGGAAATTTGAAGCAAGCAGTTCCTTGTGTTTTTCTAGGTTATCCATGTGGTAAAAAGGGTTACATGGTGGTTAATATAAAGACTCTCAAACCTTTTGTTTAAAGAGATGTAGTGTTTCATGAGTAATTCTTCCCTTTTGCCTCTATTAAAGCTGCTAATCCTATTGTGTCTTTTCTGCCTAATGCTAACCAGAACACAGGTGTTAGACAATCCTTTGATATACCAACCCAAGATGTTTCGTCTCCAGATAATAATCTTTCAGCTGATCCTCTTTTGTCTAGTCCCAGATCCTGTATTCCTTCTCAATTTTCTTCATCTAGTTACACACTTAGATCCCATGTTGCTTTTCAGCCTTCTTCATCTAGCTATACACCAAGATCCTCTACAGTTTCTAGGAGTTCTCCTATTTTTTCCTCACGAGAACCAGAAGCTCTGGTAGACACTCTCATTAGAAAATCTACCAGAACACATAAAACTTCATCTTATCTAAAGGACTATATCTGCAACGCTCTTATCACGGCCCAAAAATCTCACCCGTCATGATGGCGCTTATCTCGCTACTAGGCAAGCCGACAACATCAATAACCCATAATTTTTTTTAAATACTGGAAATATAATAATTAATTTAAGGGGAAAACTCCCACCAACACTGAATATAAATTTACTCCCAAAATACGGTGTCATTAAGTACATGAAAATCTATACATTACAAGTCTGGTAAACCCGGTCTATAATAATCCGATACCAAATATAATAAACAAAGGATAGGGAAGGAGAGACAGGGTCTGCGAAACATAACAGCTACCTCTGAATCTCCAAAAAGATCAACTGTATGAAAGAATCAACACCCAATGTATCCGGGATCACCTAGATCTGCACACAAAGTGCAGGGTATAGTAGCTACCTCTGAATCTCCGAAAAATCAACTGTGTGAAAGAATCAACACCCACTGTATCCGGGATCATCTGGATCTGCACACGAAGTGCAGGGTGTAGTATGAGTACAACCAACTCAGTAAGTAACAATAATAAATAAAGAACTAAAAGTAGTGACGAGCTTCTCAACTAAGTCCAAATACATTACTTTCCAACATAAAAGGGTAGGCATGCTCTCAAGTTCAACATTTAAAATTTCACATAAATTTCATATCAAATTTGACTGACCTAGAAAATAATGTTTTTCCCAAAATCTCCAAAATAGGGATATATGACAGCTAAAATGCAGCAAATAAAGCAATCAATGCATCCTTTCAGGGTAACAGTCACTCAGTCCTCCCATTCACTCCAACCTCACAGTCACTCTTTCCTCACAGTCACTCATTCCTCACAGTCACTCAGCACTCGACACTCAGCTCTCGGCACTCGGCACTCGCACTCAGTAGGTACATGCGCTCACTGAGGGTGTGTACAGACTCCGAAGGGGCTCCTTCAGCCCAAGCGCTATATCAAGCCAATCATGGCATATAACAATGAAACATGTTGCGGCGTGCAACCCGATCCCATAAATATCCTCACAGTTAGGCCCCTGGCCTCACTCAGTCATCAACCTCTCCAGTCTCTCGGGCTCAAAAATCAGCCCAAAATGATATTATGATGTATCAATAAATAGCAACAGAGACAGAGATATGATATGAAATGAATGAACATGACTGAGTGTGAAATTACAATTTGAGCATATAATTCAACCACATAAATGACCCCAGTGGGTACCAATAATAACAGCATATGTCTAAGCATGATTTTTAATACGAGTCTCTGCTCAATTTTCTCTAACACGTAGAGAATGTACGGATATCAACAGATATTTCGATTACACAGTTCCATGGAATTTGACCAAGTCACAATTTTCACGGTGTAAGCCCACACGCCCGTCACCTAGCATATGTGTCACCTCAAAACCAATCACATAACACATAATCCGGGGTTTCATACCCTCATGACCAAATTTAGAACTGTTACTTACCTCAAACCATATAATTTTTTATTCCGCTATGCCCTTGCCACGAGAATTGGTTCCGAAAGCCTCGTATCTAGTAACAATTAATTCGATTCATTCAATACCAATTATTGTAATTAATTCCACAAGGAAATACTAATTTTCCAATAAAAATCCGAAATTTACTCAAAATCGCCCATGGGGCCCACGTCTCGGAATCAGACAAAAGTTACAAAACATGAACACCCATCCAACCACGAGTCCAACCATATAAATTTTACCAAATATCGACATCAACTAGACCTTCAAATCTTCAATTAAAGTCTTTGAAGATTTCTACCATTTTCAACCCAATCTTTACCCATTCGAACTCAATAATCTTTCCATAAACCTTATTAGTATGTGTATGTATAAATAAAACTCTAACACCCAAGAATCATGCTCTTAATTACCCATCTTTACCCAAACTCGAAATTGAAGACTAGGGGTTAGAACCTTACCTCTTGGGTAAAGATCTTGTGATATTTCCTTGTTGGATTTAAAGCTTGAACAAGATCTTGATGAACAAAGCACTTGAGCTTCTTCCTCTCTCTAGGACACTCTCCCTTCTCTCTAAAAGCGTCAGATTTTGGCTAAAAATGAGCTTCAAGGGCTTTAAATCAAAGTTGGGTCGGGTCAAAAATTAAAAAGAATGGAAGCCCTGACGCAGTTATGCGATCGCATAACACGTATACGGTTCGTATATCGGCCGCATAATTTGGCCTCCAAAACTGAGCGTGACTGACCCGGTCTGCGGTCATTATGCGGCCCGCAGACCTTTTCTGCGATCACATAATGCATCGCATAACGGGTCTGCGGTCGCATAATGTACCGCAGATTTTCCTCAAATCTTGCCTCACAACTGCTTCACTCTGCAGCCATTATGCGGTCCGCAGAGTGATTCTGCGGTCGCATAATGGACCACAGAAACGCATTTTTCTGCCACAAATTTTCCTTTACTCCCCAGTGCATTGTTCAACCCAAAAGGTCCAAGCCGCGGCGAGCTTATAATCTTTGTACTAATTGATCTACCTCGGCACCACAAAACCTTAATTTACTTAGCAAAAATTCTCCGGGGTGGTTATATATAAGTCAACATCCGGTCAACCTTTCA